TCTTATCCTTTAGTATGAATATCTTTCTTTCTCAATACGGATTATCGTTATATTAATTTTCATATATCTCTCTTTCTTATTAAATTAATAGTATCTCTCTCCCTAGCTACGAAAAAAAACGTTGACATTGTGACTTCGTTTGCAACTGCCACTCGTCCCAGACCATTATTATTGCATGACTTATTGACTAAAACTTGAACAAAATCCCGAATATTTAATGCGATAGTTAATGCCTTTGTATATATTCAGGATTTTTAATTTATTTCTGAAATATGGTATTTTGAATGTACCTTTGGCTGATTTAAGTATTAAATTTCTGTCTTCATATTACACTGTTGCCAATCACTCTCTACGAGGAAAGTAAAATGAAAGCTACCATGGTTAGTGACAGACGCTGATCGCTTCACCAGAGAACTGAATGGTCCTTCATAACGTTTTCTTTCATTCAGTGGACTGTATGCTATATTGCCTACAGATATTACTTGGTCTACATCAATACGTTAAGTAGATATCCTTCGATATTTGTTTGCATCGTTTAACTTTTTACTTGGGCATTGATGTAGGTATCCTCCTGCTCTCATAATTTGTATGTGGTCTTGTTTAAATATTCTTCACATGCGATAACACAATAAACCTGGGGCTTCTATAATGGTTAAATATTGGGTCTATCTTTTTTCACGGTGATCTTGCCCCACTTGTTAATCCAACAGGAACGAATAGAAAACCCTGTCAAGGAAATAGAAAAAGTATCTTCTGCCGTGAAAACCCTGGGCAAATATCTGTATCTCTTTACGTGTGTGTTTGAGATGGGACAGAATGATTGGACGGGATTCCCCTTAGAATCGAAGAAGAAAGAGTGATTTCCTGTACCGAAGACGATCCCAAAGCTTTGGATGTCGCGTTGACACCTAGTGATTTCGTTTGGACAGAAAGTACGTTTATTCAGCAAAAGAAGGCTGCCGTGCTCCTTTATTTTATAGGATTTATTTATGGGGGCCCATTAGTACACGAGTAGAGCACTAACCGGAAGCCAGTTCCGTAGACACCTCAGGGCTAGCATGGTATAAAAACGCTTTTATATCGGCAGGGGGTCTGGCAGCAGCGGATGCTCCGGCAGATGACGTCGTAGCGGCCTTGGCAGTTGAACCCGTAGTAGAACCTGCCGCACTGGCCCCCGAAGTAGTTGAAGAAGTAGCCTTTGTAGAGGGGGCCTATGTTGTAGCACACACCACATCGCCCAGGTATGGGTCGCCTGCAGCCGAGCAAGCCGTAAAGCGTTAGGGTGCTGGCTGACGCCGGGCCAACGGCGGCGGCTACGATAAGCAACAGGAGAACGGCAGCTGCCGCGGTGACCGGGCTCTTCCTGGCGGTCGCCATATCCTTCACGGAGCCACGGCCGGACTCGAGAATCTGAGGATCGGGGCACGTCAGGAGGGGTTGCTCGTCGAGGATGATGAGCTGCTGTCCCCTGTGCCTGATCCGTGCTGTTTATAGTACGCGAATCGTTGAAAGTGTCGACGGATTTCGCCATCAGGGGTAGACGTGAATAGTAGGGCACTCGTTAGTCTCATTTAACGTTTGGCGAACAGGTCATTGTATCATTTTCTCGCTGACCTTTTCGTCCGTTCCCATCACCCAGAAGATGCGGAGCCCAAGGAAGGATTGAAATGTCTGTCACGCTGCTCGTGGAAAGTCGTTCATTATTCCCTTCCAGTCCCCACATCTGCTTGTGCCCTCCTATTTTGAGTACGTTCAAGTTTTTTAGTAGTGCTATTCGACTCTGAGGTTACTATGGCGGTGGTGTCCCCGTCTCCAGTTACCTATTTTCGTCCTAGTCTCCTGTTTCTTATAGTAGTGAAAATCTTTGACGTCCGTAACTGCGATAAATGGTACAGAAACTTATGGGCAATAAATAAGCAGCAACAGTCGATGCCGGTGCAACCACCCATATTAAAGGATTATTAACTTCATTATAACTTTCTAACTGGCTCAAATCATGACATATTCGACGTACCTCAGGATTTCCTTCTGTAATATCGCCAACGCCATCGAAACGATAGGCAGCTGGCTGTTACTTACCCTTCCGAGCTCGTTTGTGACCCCCTCCCAAGCTCTTCTGTTCCTTTCGTGTGGAGTGGATCCGCACCGCTAGCAGTTGGTTGAGCGGATACGCTGAAGACCTGCTGATCAAGCAACGAATCGGCGGATAAACGGGGAAGCGCTGGGAGGCCTCTCCCATCTAAATGAAGACGGGATTCGAGCGTGGAGAGGCGAAGTGGGGCCTTCCAGGGGAGAGAATAGCAGTACCCATTGGCGAAGAACAGTCTTCCGCGGCGTGAAGAGCCTGCTCGGCGCCTTCAAAGGCGATCAAGGCCGGCCCGGGTGAGAATCGAAGAGAGTTCGGCATTGATTATTCTCGAGCGGCAACTTCCGTGAAACGACAGGATTATGTGAGACACGAGCGGCAAAATACATGTCTACAGAAAAATTTAGGAAAATCCAAGACAACTTGAAAATGTTAAAGAAACTGAGAGAGACCAAGAAAGATTTCTTGAAGAATCTTCTGTACCTACGGTCAATGAACTTCAACAGTTTAATGGTTCACTAATATAAAGTAAAACTGTTTGAAATAAAATAGAAAGTATTGAACTGGCCAAGGACCAAAGATCTAGAAGGTATTCATCTGATCCAATAATGAGTTACATTCTATAATAAATCATGTGGTGTTGAGAAGAAATTACATATGTAATTTAGAAGTTAAAAATATTGCATAGGGAATAACTGATTATAATTTAACCTTAGATCAACTAAAATACATGTTACAATTGAATTTAACACCAAAATAAGTCACGTATTGGTATTCAAGGAGATAGTTAAATGAAAAATAATTTTTGGTTCCTAAAATAAAAATTGAAATAATATTTTCAAAAACAACTATAGTGAAACTACATCGTAGTTGTATTTGGATAATAGAGATCAAGGATGAGTGTTTTTGTTAAAATTAAGGATAACTTTCTTTATTCAAATAAATGGACAGAAGAGAGATAAGATTTGGAGGCATTACAAAGGGAAATATATTTTAGCATGAAAATATTTCTTCCAAAGATCATACCTTCGTTAAAAATATTTTACTTGTTGATAATGTAAGTCCATTCGTGATGATCACATTAAATTACTATTTAATGATTCAAATAGTAACTTACTCTTTACTAGTGATTAGAGTAAATAATATTCATAGTTTAGATCTTAAAGAAATGGGCAGACCACACATATATCACACAGTTATAATGAATAAAATAACAAAGAAAGCCTTTGTTGGCATCAGAAATTCATTTAATCAAATGACTACCGAAACTAACAGAGATAGACAAATTTAATTTTATAGTTGGATGCAAGGAAAACAAACTAGTATAAACAATCACCACCAAAGAACATATCTTTCCGACTAAATCTTTACACATGATTCATTTAGATTACTTGATGTAAATAAAATTTTCATCTTATGAGAAAAATTTAATGGTTTAATTATAGTGATGATTATTCTAAATATTCTTGATTATTTCATCTTAATAGCTAAGACTGAATATTAAAATACTGCTTAAAATTTATAAGGAAAGTTGAAAATAATTTGGAACAATGCTCTAGAAGATTAGGAATGAGCAGGGAAGAGAATTTGAGAATATTAACTTTTAAGCTCCAAGAACAGCTCAACAAAATAAAATTGTTGAGATAAAGAAGAATAAATTATTACATACTTCTAAAAATTTACAGCAAATTGTAAAAATAATTTTACATGAAAATAAGCTACCCAGTACATTTAGGTTAAGGTAATGAAAAAAACATCCTATGTAGTGAATGGAATTTTAATTAGATATAAGTTAAATATTGATGAAGACGAAACAAAGCATAATATATTTCAATTTCTTGGAATGGAAGTACTTGGTTATAAACATTAGATGATAAGAGAGAACTTTAATTATTGATGAGTGTAAAGCAAACTAGAAAATCACACTTCATGACTATTAAAAGAAGATTTAGATAGTTAATAGGAACAAAGACCTTAGGTCTATGAAAATTCCAAAAATCAACATTGTAATATATTAGGCTAACGCCTGGAAGTCCTCGCCCAATCCCGCTGTTTTTCCGACCTCGAAGCTCTCCGCGCCATCGTCGCCGGATTTTCTGACACCGGCGAGGAAGAGAAAGCGCTGACTAACGCCTGGAAGGGCCTCCTCAACTTGCTTGTGCTGCGTCGCCGCTACGAGAGTGCCCGGAGGATGTCTGAGGAAATGCTCCAGGGATACGGCGTGGCCGATAACGTTTCCACTGGTATAATGGTGAAGGTCTTGCCGCAGCAAGGGAGGTCGGATGAAACCCTGGAGCTGAATGAGGGGAGGTGGGGAGGTGGGGAACTGGTTGCGTCCCAAATGCCGTCTTCTACAACAAGTTGATGGATGTCTGCTGCAGGAAGGAAGACGTCGAGAAAACCTGCAACCTGTTCAGGAAGATACATTCAAGGATTCCTGTCCACCTTGGTTCCATATGGAACGATGATCGCAGGGTTCTCTAAGAGGGCCGACTTTTGCCGAGATCAGAGCTCTGCTCAGGACATCAGGGGGCGGGGAATGGAGCCCGGTGTGGAGACCCACAACATGCTTATCGACGCTTTCTGTATCTGTGGTTCAGTGCACAGATACAGTCTCTGGGGGGAGTTCTCTCGACCTGGAACCTACTGTTGAAATGATGGAGAAGGGGCGTCCTCGAGGCCGGGTTGCCCTTACCGTCCTCATCCATGGGGGCTCATCGCATCAGGAGAGATCCAGGCAGGATTGTCGATCAGGAGCGAGGTGTGGTGCCCGACGTGGCAATCTTCGATAGCGTGATGGGCGGGCTTTCCTAGAAGGGGATGATCCCCGCTGCAAGGAACCTGCTGGTAGAGATGCTGAACTTCAACATCCTCCCCGATGAGTTCATCTATGGCGCACTCCTCGATGGTTTCGTCAGGAACGGTGACCAGAAGACCGTTCTGCCTCTTGAGGAAGAAGAGCATTCCCCACGGCATCGTCATCCGCAATGCAATGATCAAAGGGTACTGCAAGTTTAGTCCCGAATGTCGTCACGCACAGTATCCTCATCGGCAATGCATCAAAAGCCGGCGAGCTTGAAAAGCTGTGTTTTCCTCAAGGATATGTTGCTCGGCGGGTACCTTCCTAATGACGTCACTTCCATTACCCCCTCAATGCCATTTCCTGGCATCGTGCAGCGGGTGATGATTGGCCTCATCCGTATGCGGGCTACTTGCAATTGGACTTGTTCAGAAACATGATTGCAGATGATTGGGATACCAGGTCGGCTTCTTATAATGCCATCATAGTTTTTCTTTGCCAGCATCGGATGCTCAGGTCTGCAATAGAGCTGAGCGATAAGATGCAGTCCAAGGGCTGTGCAATGGATGCTGTCACAGGATAAGATGCAGTCCAAGGGCTGTGCGATGGATGCTGTCACATTTCTGTTACTTTGTTCACGGTTTCTGTGTGGAAGGGAGATCCACTGAATGGGACGGTGTTCAGGCTTGTAGTTTTCAGCGGCACAGGCTGGAGAGTTCCCTGAAGCATACTTTCTTTCTGTACAGGCACACCAATCAAGGAATCAAGTCTGAGGGCTCGTCGACGTTTTCATTTCTGTTCCAAGATCTCAAGTCTGAGAAAGGCTTTAATTATGGGTAATGTCCATATCTACCATTTTGAAGAAAGGTTGGAATTGGTTGAACTTGCACACTCAGAAGAGATTAGTGCCCTCCAGCGGACTGTCTTCCAGGATTCCATTCAGTCCTCTATTGGATTGTGAGGACTGGAGTACAAGCGACTTCAGTGGCTTTTACAGGAAAGGGCATTGCCTGCTTAGATCTGCCAGGGGATGTTACCTGTAAATGCCTGGACAACCTTCATGGTATCGCATAACCTAATCTTTGTCAATTGTCTGTGTAACCATGCAATTTCTGATATTTTTTGCGTACACCTTGTGATGTTGTTTCCATCTGTTGGTTTATAGGAAGGAAACTCACAGTTATTGAGACACTCCAGTAGAAAATGGCATGAACCGTGGAAGGTATTGTTTCCAAGGAGTTATTGATGAAACAATAATTTGATTTGGCCTTGGCAATCCTGCTTGAATCTTAGTCTAGAGTCATTTCGGTGGCTACTGGTCATCTGAAATCAGGATTGCCCTCAACTTATGGTCACTGGTACCATTGGTTGAATCATATTCAATTTTCATGAATTGTGGAAAACCTTTTGTGAACGAACACTATGGTTAACTGCCCTAGCACTACGAGTGATTCCTTTCCTTCGTGATAAGCAAATGTATTGGAATTCAGATGATTATACGCTAGCTGAACCAGCAGGCAGGAAATCCCATCATTTTCTAGTCTTTCCTATCATCCATTTTTAAGCCTAAAAAGAATGAGGTCATTCAGAACTCTTTTCTTTCTTAGCATATCACTAGATTTTACTTTACTTTCGTCTTAAATTCTCTACAATGTTCCAAGTTTTTGTATATGTCTTTCTGCCTAGAGCAGGAAGTTGTTGAGGTGACACCGTGGGCTTTTCTTGTCAACATTGCCTGACCCAATAAACCACTGAGCTCACTTCTTCACGTGTTTGCCTCACCGTGAAGAGCATTCCAGCATGCAATTATGCAGCTTATTTGTGGTCATGGAAGATTTTATTCTGATTAGATACTAACTGAATTCATCGGCTATACTCATTTACAGCATTCATATTTCCTCATTTTTAAGTATTTTATTCATAACGGCATAAATCTTGTTTTTAGTTATTTATTCAATCTCTAGATTACTAATAATTTAAACTAAAAGAAAACTAGATGTAGTGACATTAATATTTGGTGCGCATGTATTTCTTATTAATCTAACATTTCCTGGTTATTTAAATATGCTGATTTATTTTATCGGTTGCTACAAGAAGGGATAAAGATGGCATACAGAGACATGTGAACCATGTATAATTATGTGGGTGAATGAGCCAAGAAAATTCAATACTGTGTATTTGAATTAATCTTCAAGATGCGTGTAGGATCTCACCAAGTCTAGTTTTGATCGTTGTCATCGTTGTCCAAAGACTATTTATTCAGCCAAGATCTAGAATTGCCTGGTGTGAGGGAGTAGAGCCAGGGTGCTCTCACATAAGATAATGTGTTCAAAGTTTTTTTCTTCACATAGTTGACAGAATTTTTCCTAACCTGCACCTTTCATTTTCAATTCATGATATGCTGCTCACTGGGAATTAACACCCAGCCAGCCATGGCCTTAACGGTTGTTGTTATAGAGTCAAATGATATGAATTGGATCTCCTTCTTTTAAAGATTTAGAAGAGTCATCAGAGCACACTGGCGAGTTGAGTTATTGGCTCTGAGTTGGACTGTTTAATAGCTAAAATGTGTGTACTTCAGCCATTTGTGTAACTATTGATTTGAAACATATATTAACGTGAAAGTCATAAATTTTTTCGCTTCATTTTAAGCTGATATAGTAACATTGGCATCTCGGTTTGAATCTTTCATATTGAATAATAGTGTGAAATATTTTTTTTATTTTGTTTTGGTTTTTATTTCAGTTTAAAAGAAGTGTAATTGAAGTCATTAATGGGCCAGAATTTAATTTGAAATTCATTTTATCCTTGGACCTGATTTAATTTGAAGTTCTTTTTATTATTGGCCTGAAATTAAGTTTAATTTGATTTATTTTTTGGGACTGAATTTAAGGTCAATGTTTTCATTATTGGTATTTATATTCAAGGTATATTGGATCCAAGCTAAATTGATCTTGCAAAAACCTTAATTGAACAATAACCTGTTTCTCAAACCTATAAAGATCCGAAAACAAAGCAATTGAAATTAATAATTTTCATCTTATTTAATACTAAATTCTGTCTCTTTTGAAATTCTCTCTTAATCTTTAATATTACATCTTATATCTTATTAAATGTTCTCATATTCTTTAATATTAAGTTTTCTCTCTTATTAAGTGCTAACTTATTCTTTAATGTTAATATCTGCTTTTTCTTAGTATGAATAATCTTTATATATATCGAAAATTCTCTCTCTCTCTCTCTCTCTCTCTCTCTCTCTCTCTCATTAAATTAATAATACCATTATCTTGCTATAAAAAAACGTACATTGTGACTGCCTTTATAACTGCCATTAGTCCAAATGACAACCATCATTGTTACCTTTCAGGCAATTATTATCACACAACTTGAAACTAAAATGTGTATGAAATCCTGGATATTTAAGCTATAATTAACGCCTTTGTACTTATACAAGATTATTAATTTTTTTCTTACATAATGTATTTTGGATGTACCTTTGCTTGACATAGTTATAAAATTTCTGACTTCATGTTACAATGTTGTCGATCGCTCTCTAGGAGGAGAAAACTAATACGAAAGCTAGGACTGTTAGTTATGTAGCTAATCATTTCACTAGAGAACTTAAAGGACCTTCACAGGATTTTCTTTAATCCAGTGGACTGTATGATAGACTGCTTGGAGATTTTACTTAGTCTATTTCAACATGTTAAGTAGATATCCTGAATTTTTTTTTGGATTGTGTAAGTTTTTATTTTGGCATAGACGTAGGTATCCTTTCGTTGTCAGGTATTCTTCTATTTAAGTATTACTCACATGTGACACATTTGTTTCAACACAATATCCGAAACTCTCAAATCACAAGGCTCGAACTCTTGAATTTTATAGTTTACTCTGCACTTTACTAATGACTTGTAAAAGTAAACAGCGGACATTACCATAGCTTGGAAATACTTAGGTGAATTACTTTTAGTGAAATAAACAGTGGGAGGCCTCGCACTTTATACTGGCTCCCACTGCGAGGCCTCCCACATTATATTTTAGTGAAATATAATGAATAAATTAATAAACTGAGGAAATTTTTATACCCATATTGTATTTAAAGGATTCTCATTAGTTTGGACATGTCCATCCTTCTCATTGTGGCAGTTTTAGTAATTATTGAAAATTTTCACATCAATATAAAAAGTAATAACTTATACTTTGTAAATTAATTTAACTCTAGAATGCAATAGTTAATTTCATTAAAGTTTAGAATTCAACATTATAACATTGTCATGACTTCCTTGAACTTATAATCAATGAGAATTTTTTACTAAACTCTAGAGTATTTTTGATGATTACCTTCACTTTCTTACCATTTATTAAATTTGATTCTTCATACATCAAAATATTTATTCATATATCAAATATAATGATTACCAAGAATAATTTGATCTTTAAATATAACATTTATCATCATAAAAATAATATGCAATAACCCTCCAACACAGTGCAGTACGAAATTTAAGAAAATTAATTAATAGAGCTACAAAGATCTATATTTGGAGTTTTTCCACTCTTGATTCAATTTAGGCAAGTGACTTTACATTATTTTTCCCTCCCAAGATACCAAAGAATAGAACTTTTAGTTGAAGAGTGATTTCGGTTCAATCCAAAAGTTATGCGCATTGGTGAGCATCACCAATTAAAAATGAATTTGGGGTTAAACCAGGTTTGCGAAGTATCGATTTGTTTCACGAATGCAGGGCTTTCCATCCTCTCAAGTTCCAGCGAGCTGAACTACAGTCTGCTCTCTCCGACGCAACTAAGTGGTATATTCAAAACAGACTACATCCAATTAACTCCATCCCGACCTTGGATAGGTTGACAGCCTAAAGTCCTATGATAGAAATGAACCTCCTCCAATAAACAGCTACTCAATACCTCCTTATAACTAATGACGAACACGATCTGTTGTTTTCCCATAGATATAATTTATTATTACTGTTATACACTTCAGTAGCCAAAAACGTGCCCCTTGTACCCATGGAAACATCATCTTGCCTTCCTCAGGGGGCTAGGGTACACCTGCCGTTCGATCTGTGGAAAATGAACTATCTTGAAATAATAAAATGCTTTCTTCCTCGTTTGTTCAAATATTTTTCTGCAGGTCAGTCAGCCCATGGAGACATCACTGACAGACTCCAGGTAAAAAGAGCATTTATGCCGTTTAATCCGGGTAACCGCTCCTGGAGCGCAACCAGGTTTTC